AGGCCTCTCTCTTGATGATTAATGACAGTAAACAAAGAATTGATCCATGTTTGTCCTCTCTCTCTCTCTCTCTCTCTCTCTGTAAACACCACCTCCTCCCTCTCATCTATAGGTGAGAGAGAGGGAAAGGGTGAGGGAGAAGGGAATGAGGTCATCGGGAAGGGAGGAAGTGTGTGAGAAAGGAGGGAGAATCAGGGAGGGAGGAAATAAGAATTGAGGGAGAAGCAAAAGAAAAAGCTGTAATCTGCGCATCATCATCATCATCATCATCATCATCATTATCCATTTACCTTATCATTTTAACTCTAGCACTATCATCACTACACACAAAATACCAAACATAAAATCCTCTCATATAATCCCAATTCCGAGTATTTTACCCCAGACAGGTTAAAAACTAAGCCATGGGTCAAGTTGGAGTTTAATTTCGTAAGGTAGTAATTTTTGACGTTAAAGTAGCTCCTGACACTGGGAAGGACAACACCTGGTATTACTGTCTGTTTCTGTCTCATTAGTGTCGACTTACCTGGTTAGTTTTGGTATTGTTTTTTGTTTTGATTTTTATTTGTTGATGTGGTGTTGTGTCTTTGTTCATTATATTTTGTGTTTTATTTGTTTTTTATTGGTTTGTCTTTGTGTTGATTTGTTTGGATATTTTTTTACTGATGTGTTTTTGTTTATTTTTTTAAGGATTTTATTTGACTTATTTTAATGTATTGTTATTTTTATTCGTTTATTTAACATCTCCACAATCATCAAAAGCCCTTATTCCTATTCTTTACTAATCAATTAACTTTTATACATCTAAACGAAAATATATAAAAGTTATTAAAAGTCACAGAAAATACAAAAAGTTTCACCTGGTTGTGAATTTTAATATTAGAAAAATATGAAATAAAATGTGTAATTTGGTGACAGGTAAAGGTGGGTCATGTTTTAATTAACGAGTCTATGGATTAAAGGATCTAGTTATATTTATATTAATTGGGTTTGTTTTTTAATTAATATAGCTAGATAATAATGAGTGTGTGTGTGTGTGTGTGTGTGTGTTTGTGCGTGTGTGTGTGTGTGCGTGTGCGTGTGAGAGAGGGAGAGAGGGGGGGGAGGAAGGTGATAGAAAAGTTACTGATGAAAAACGAGGGGTAATGAGGAAGTGAGATGAGTCATGAGGGAGGAGATGAGATGAAGTAATGAGGGAGAAGGTGAGGGAAGGAATGAGGGAGGGGAAGAGTAATGAGTGAGGAGTAATGAGTGAGGAGGTGAGGAAGGTAAGGAATGAGTTAACAAGGCAGTGAGAGGATGGAGGAGAGAGAGAGGAGGGAGGAGGGAGGGAGGGGAGGGGAGAGAGGGAGGAGGAGGGAAGGAGAGAGGGAGGGAGAGAGGGAGGGAGGGAGGGGAGGGGAGGAGGGGAGGTGAGGTAGGGAGGAGAGGGAGGGAGGGAGGACTCCACTCCACTACCTGAAGGGCCAGGTAATGATGACGGCAGGGTGGAAAAAGGGAAGGAGGTGAGAGGGGAGGGAAGGGAAGGAGGGATGATGTTGGAGGGGAGGCAGTGAGGGAGTGGTATTTGTAAGGTGTTGAAGGGAGGGTTTTGGTGGTGAGGGGAGAGAAGGAGGAAGGGTGTTGATGGTGAGGTGTTAGAAAGGTAATTGCATTGACGTGGAGAGGGGAGGGAGGAAGGATGGAGAGGAAAGAAGAGAGGGAGGGGTAAAGGGAGTGAGGGGAGAGAGGAGGAGGGATGAAGGAAGGGAGAGGTGTTTGGATATTGTGAGATAGAGGGAGGGAAGGTGATGGTGGTGAGGGGAGAGAGGGAGGAAGGTGATGGTGGTGAGGAGAGAGGGAGGGAAGGTGATGGTGGTGAGGGAAAGAGGAAGGAAGGTGATGGTGGTGAGGGAAGAGGAGGGAAGGTGATGGTGGTGATGGAGGATGGTGAGGGAGGCCAGGGGGGAGGGGAGCCTTGTTTATGAAATACCTTGGTCTTCCTCCTCTTTCTTCCCTTCCTCTTCCTCCTCCTCCTCCTCCTCTCTCCATAACTGTTATTCTTAAGTTCTTTCTCTATATCTTCTTCTCCACCACCACCATCACCACCACCCTTCCTTCACCACCACCATCACCACCACCCTTCCCTCACCACCACCATCACCACCACCCTTCCTTCACCACCACCATCACCACCACCCTTCCTTCACCACCACCATCACCATCAAATTCTTCCTTCACCACCATCACCACCACCCTTCCTTCACTCACCGCCATCACCACCACCCTTCCTTCACCACCACCATCACCACCAATTCCTTCCTTTCACCACCACCATCACCACCACCCTTCCTTCAACACCACCACCATCACCACCACCCTTCCTTCACCACCACCATCACCACCACCCTTCCTTCACCACCACCATCACCACCACCCTTCCTTCACCACCACCATCACCACTCTCTTCTTCACCACCACCATCACCACTCCTTCACCACCACCACCCTTCCTTCACCTCACTCACCACCCTTCCTTCACCACCACCATCACCACCACCTTCCTTCACCACCACCATCACCACCCTTCCTTCACCACCACCATCACCACCACCCTTCCTTCACCACCACCATCACCACCACCCACCATTCCTTCTACCACCACCATCACCACTCCTTCACCACCACCACCAACCACCCCTTCACCACCACCATCTCACCACCACCATTCCTTCACCACCACCCCTCTCCACCACCACCACACCACCACCACCACCCTTCCTTCACCACCACCATCACCACCACCCTTCCTTCACCACCACCATCACCACTCCTTCACCACCACCATCACCACTCCTTCACCTCACCTCACCACCACCATCTTCCTTCACCACCACCCCTCACACCACCCACTTACTCACCACCACCCTACCCACCCACCCACTTACTCACCACTACCAACCCTCCTCCTTCCCTCCTTACCTCCCTCCCTCCTTCCTTCCCTCAGTCTCCATCTTACCCCCTACCGGTAAATGGTTAATTACTATAATGGCAATATCCATTTAAAGTGAGTAGGTTAATGTGTGGTGGGAAGAGGTGTTGGACGTCCTGGTGGGTTACTGCCAACTCTTTCTCTACTCTTAGTTACTCTTTCTCTACTCTTCTTTCTTTAAACTCTTCCCTTTCTCTGTCTTTTATTCTCTGTTACTCTTTCTAACTCTTTGTATATATATTAATTCTGTTCCTACTCTCTCTCTTTTTCTCTCTCTTTTCCTGTTCTTCTTTATGCTTTACTCTTTTATCTTCCTCCTTTTTCATATTCCTTCATTTTTGTCCCTTTTCTTCCTCCCTCCCCTTTGTTTTGCTTTTTATTTTATTCCTCCTCGTTCCTTTTCTTTCTTTTAATTTCCCTCTTAGCTATTGTAATCTTCTTCTTCTTCTTCTTCTTCTTTTACTCTTACATTCTTCCCTCTCGTTTACTTTCTTCTTCTGCTCTCCTCCCTCTTTTATTTCCTTCTCCACCTCTTCCTTTTACTCTTATCTTCCCCCTCCTTCATTCTTTCCTTTCCTCTCCAAATTATTCCTCCTGAGTTGCACCTCTTCCTTCATTACTCTCTCTCCTCTTCCTCTCCCTCTACCTCCTCCTTCATTACTCCCTCTCCTCTTCCTACTCCTCCTCCTCCTCCCACCTTTACTCTCTCTCCTCTTTCTACTCCTCCTCCTCCTCCTCCCATCTTTACTCTCTGTCCTCTTCCTCCTCCTCTTCTCCTGTCCTTCATTTGATAAATTAATAATAACAACAACAATACCAGCAACAGCTACAATTAACAACAACAACAACAACAATAACAACGACGACAACAACAACAACAATAACGACAACAACGACGACAATAACATCAACAACAACAACAATAACGACGACAACAACATCAACAACAACAACAATAACGACAACAACAACAACAACAACAACAGGGTACAACCAGACAACATAACACTGGAAGTCATGTCAGGAAAGGTAATAACCAATTAGCTGTTGTGTTTCCCAGGTAAATGATCCTTGATAATGACTGAGACAAGTAACTCTGCCTGTGTCCTTTGTCATGTTTATTATTATTATTATTATTATTATTATTATTATTATTATTATTATTATTATTATTATTATTATTATTATTATTATTATTATTATTATTATTATTATTATCCCCAATTTTACATCAGTACGGCGTTGTTCTCTCGTATCTAACTACGATATAGTTATTCTGACGCCGTTTTTCTGTAAGTCTTTTTATCTCTAATTAATGGAAGTTACGACAGATTCTCTCCTCTCCAGTTAAGGTGAAAACAAGTTTTGTAACTCTGAGTATGAAGGCTGTAGAGCGTGTATATGTGTTCCGTGTTCATGTTCGTCTCTGCTCTGGTATATGTGTTTTCCTCACAAATAAGAGAGAGTTTACTAATAAGGCTAAATGAAGGAGCATAATGATGATAATACTTAATGTTCCTCTCCATGAATATGTTAAGTTGGCTTTAGGTTCATTTATGATACTCTTACTACATGGGAGTTATTTTCCCTGTGTTTTATACCTGAATCTCTGGGGGGGTTTTCAAAGTAAAATTCCCCGCTTGATAACCCTGGCAGATGAAGCATCGTAAACAGACAATAACAATAACAGCTTCACTGTTTGTTTGTTTGTGTTTACTGAGTACACAGGGTGAACTTAACACACTTAAAGACACACACACACACACACGCACACACACACACACACACACACACACACACACACACACACACACACACACGCACTTAAGTTGAATTATGATGGGCAACACTTAATGCTGGAAGAGAGAGAGAGAGAGAGAGAGAGAGAGACCTAATATTATATTCTTGTACACACACACACAGTAGAAGGGGGAGGAGAGGGTCTTTAATCCATCACTCTCCTTCCCCTCCATTCAACTAATCCGTCATCCGCAGTAGACTAATCCAGCCTCATCTCCCTCCTCCCACAGCCGCGCCGTGCTGGGTAACAGGGATGTGGTGGGCACGACGCCATGGTGGTCGGTCTGGAGCCACGACTTCTGGGGTAACCCGCTCTCCCGCCGGGGCTCTCACGGTTCCTGGCGACCCCTCACCACGCTCTCCTTCAGGTAGGTCCTCCGCCACATTGTAGGTACTCCTGAGATGCTTTGTTTTTAGGCTATCTTTAAGTTTGTTCTCTTTCTAATAGGTCCCCTTTAGGTAGGCCCTCCTTCACGTAAGGTAGGTTTCCTTCAAGTGAGTCTTTCTTCAGGGATGTCCTCCTTTAGGCAGGTCCTCCTATAGGCAGGAAATCCTTCAGGAAGGTCCTCTAAGCCCTCCTTCCAGGTAAGTCCTCCTTCAGATAGGTCCTCGACATAATGATGGTGGGAGGGAGAGGGTGACGCGGCCTTCCCTCTGGTGTTGGTGAAGGGGAGAGGCCCAGTGATGGACTATAACGATGGTAGACCAATTTATTGTATCACGAGTTTCCTATTTCCACTGAGAGGAAACAACACACTACAATATAAACTTACTTTAATTTACTAGTTCAAAAAGCGTAGAAAGAGGAAATATAAACACTATAAGCGACCTGATGTATGATTTTGTTGTTGTTCATAGAAAATGTGGCTTTAAAATACTAACAAAGACTAATGTAGTATTTTCATAGCTTGGTGATCATGTATAGAGACAAACATACATATATATCACAAGGTATTGCATTATGGAGGCGGCGGTGGGGGATGTGGATATCTGTTCACCCCTCACGCACCCCCCACGCCCCCACGCCCACCCACTCCTTCCACGCCCTCTCACCCCAATATTACCTCTACTTTTGGTACCATAAAACGCGCAAAAGAATACCGTAAAGGTCAGCAGTTTTACTCAGGTCAAATGTCAAAAGTATATTCGAATAGCCTAAGACAACCCACTAGGGGAAGCTCGAGGTTGAAGTTCCCTAAACGGATAAAACTTCAGCTAAATTATGAGTGGACAGGAATTGTAGTTTGAAGGTTGAAGTTTTTATGTGGTAATAGTGGCCCTTGAACCAATGTTTGTCTTAGTTGGTATTACGTCTTTGTTTTCCTCATTATCGTGTGTGTGTGGGTGGATGTGGTGTGGTGTGGTGTGGTGTGGTGTGATGTGATGTGGTGTGGTGTGGTGTGGTGTGGTGTGGTGTGGTGTGATGTGATGTGGTGTATACGTATGTTTGTGTGTGTAAATATATATTATAATCGTGTAATCTAATTATACAAACTACTATAACTTGCACCCCATAACAAACATTAAAAGGTGTACCACAAATTATAATATATCCTCTAATCACTAAGTAATTAGCTGAGCCAGGTGAAGGTGAGAGATTTTATATCAATATTTTTGTTTCCTTCGCTTTACCTCAATCGAACTTGACCCAAAAATCCCTCCCATTTTTTTTCCTCTGCCTTGAAAGTGTTGTGTTTACGCTAACTTATGTAAACTTGAGTAAACTTCGGTAAACTTAGGTAAACAAGCCTTTATTCCTTCGTTGATGTTATGCAGAGAGTGGGGTGGAAAGGGAGGGTAGGTCAAGGTAGGGAGGGATTGAGGGAGGGGAATGGAGAGGGGGGATTGTTGATGCTAAGTAGGGAGTCGGGAGGGCAGGGTTGGGGAGGTAAGTGGCAGTGGGGAGGAAGACGGGGATTGTGGGTAGAACAAGTTGTGAAGTTGTGGGTGGAACAAGTTGTGGGTGGGTGGAGGAGGGCTGAGTGGTTAGGAGAGAAAGGAATGTACAGTGGTGATGGAAGGGAGAGGAAGGATTATGTAGTGGAAAGGAAGGGAGAGGGAGGAAATTACGTAATATATAAGAGATAGATATTGCAAGAGAGGGTAAAATAATTGAAGTATTAGGTAATGAGAACAGGATAGGGGCATAAATAGCTGCTGGAAAAGAGGGCTATGGTACATGGAATAGAAGGAACAGTAGATGGAAAAGTAAAGGAAAAGAACATAAATATTTGTATAAGATGAAAACTGTCGTCAAGGAGAGAGACTGGAAAGAAAAAAAATGGCCTTTCCTCTTGAAGTTCCACAGATAAACACATTTCTGACTCACATATCTTAGAGATCATGAAGGAGACGAAATTAAAAACGAAATAATCCACTTTTGTGTCATATCTCGTCTCAATGAAATGTAATCTAATGAACGTAAATGGTGTTAATAATGATAATAACAAAAAAATATATATGTGTATCTGTTACGTGTAAATATAACCCCAGGAAGGAATGTATATATATAATAATCATGAGTATATAAGCCAAGCACTAATGTTATTCTCAGATATGATCACGGTGGCGCTCTCTCGTTTAAGTTGGGTTAGTTTATGGCAGCAACACACGCTTCCTCTGCCTCAGGGTAGCATCATCGTTCCTTGTAAAATGACACTCTTATGGAACTCTCTCTGACCACTGATTTTGTTGATGATTGAAGTTTTGATTTTACGGGGTTATTTGACTTCTTCCCCTCCCCCCCCCCTCCTCCTCGTGTGATATGTACTGGGGTATCAAATTCCTACTGGTGTCAAATTCCTAGGGGTGTCAAATTCCCGTGGGTTGCCAAATCTGCCTATGAAATTTTATCTGGGATTACACATCACGTCTAGTTAATATTGAAACAACAATACAGGTACAGGTACACAGTAAATATAGGTGGATAAACAATTACAAATCTAACCACTAGTGAGGGTACATACACAAGTACAGGTAAGGATACAGCTACAGATACAAAGATTTCAGGATAACATTACAGAAAATTCAACTGGGAAATTTTTCAAACTCTTCCTGCAAGATGTTTAGGGGAAAGTCGTGTCAGGCATCGGAGGCGACTTTGAAAACGACAACAAAGAAATGCCTCTGCAGAACCTCCTTCCTAAGTAGCATCCATCTCAGGCCAGGAACCTAACCGGGTATTCCTTACTAGGTCTGCTGGCTTGGTTAGGTTAATTTGGGTTATGTGAAGGAGTAGGTTAAGATAGATTAGGGTTAGGTTAAGTTAGGTTAGGTTAGTTTCCGTTAGGCAAGGTTAGGTTTAATTAAAATAAGTTTGGTTAAGGAAAGTTGGATTAAGTTAAGTTAGGTTAAGTTAGGTTAAGTTAAGTCAAGTTAGGTTAAGTTAGGTTAAGTTAGGGGATGGGTTAGACCAGGTTTCGGGCGTGGGGATGAGGGTGGCCACGTTCCTAAACTATCTTACAGGTCTTTACCAAACTTCCAAAACTGATTTAACTTTAGCCTTGTAAAAGATGCCCACAGTACCGGGATTTTTATTCGGTTCCGGTTATCTTGAAGGAAAATAATAATAAAACTCGTCTGAGACTCGACTTCGGGTATTATAGCGGGTGAGGTTATTTTCCAGAGCTGGACCCGAACCCGAATTTTAACACGATGTGAATTTATTTAAGTTAGGTTATACTTGAGGTACGTTAGGGTTGGGTTAGGTTAGATTACGTTCATGTTAGGCTAGTTTAAATAACACAAATCTAACCTAACCTAACCTAATCTAATCTAATCATGTCAGAACACCACAACAGATTGATCAGACATGCGTTTCAGATTACACACTAGAGGATATCAGACAAATTTTCTGACAACACATCATTAATTAGGATAAATTTTACCCTCAGTTACCTAATTGTATCAAAATAACCTGATTGTCAGTATAATCAGGAATTAATACACAAACACAAGCCATATATACCTCAATAACTTACATATTTATAAACCAAAAATACAACCATCTTCGAATCAACTTTATCCACCAATCACATTAAATCACCACTCAATACCAATCAATCACCAACCTCCCCCCAAAAAATCAATAACAACTCTATTTCTAATCACTTAATCGTGCCAACACACCACACCAGCCAATAAGTGAGCAGAAGACTTCACTCATATTGACCCTGGACGCCACAACATTCAGGACTTCGACGTAATAGAACTCGCCTTCCATCTGCCCTCAGAACACTACCACTCACCATACTTCCTGCTACAACTGGGTTACTGGGGTGTCAGAGGCACTTGTATTAGTAAATGTGGGGTCTCGTATCAGGTTGAGAATGTGGAGTTGTTTATTGGATGTATTTTAATGATAATAATAATAAAAATAAAAATAATAATAATAATAAATAATGTTTTGATTTTTATAAATACTATTATTATATTGGTATTCTTCTTCTCCTCCTTCTTCTCCTTTATCTCCTCCTCCTCCTGCTCCTTCTCATCATCATCATCATCATCATCATCATCGTAGTAGCACCAACACAACACACCGAACTACCAATGATGAAACTCACGCCACGTCCAGCAGTTATCAGCTGTTGAGTCACGCGAGACTATATATCGTAAATCCATGTTAGTCACGCGAGCTGATGGACAGTGTGTGTGATAGAGGTTTCCGTAACGTAATATAATCCTGTTTCACTGTGTCATCACCTGTTACCTTACTACTATGACGAGAGAGCAGTTCAAGGTCTATACAGGTGACTCATGGTTAATAGCTATTAGTGCTATTTATTTTATTACTAGTACTATTATGACTACTACTACTACATCATCCTAAAGTATACACACCTGTCCTTGATTTACTTTGGGGGACAGACAGACAGACAGACAGACAGACAGACAGGACTAAACACAATACCTCCCTCAACAGTAAACAAAGAATTCATTACGCAACACAATCTCAAAACATGATGATTGTGTTGTCTCTAGTGACCCAAGTGTCTGCCTTCCCGCCACTCAGCTAGGCGAGGGAAGGGGGAGAAGGGAAGAAGGGAGGGAGGAGAAGGGGAAGAAGGGAGGGAGGAGAAGGGGAAGAAGGGAGGGAGGAGAAGGGGAAGCTAAAAGGGTAGAAGGGGAAGATGGGAGGGATAGAGGAAAAGAGAAAGAACGGGATGAGGAAAAGAAAGAAAGGAGGAGGAATGGAGGGAGAGGAAGGAATGAAGGAAGGGAGAAAGGGAGAGAGAGGGAGGATACAACAACACCATCAAGGGAGTCCCAACACTTCAAGGTAATTGGTTCTACCGTATATCCCCCGTCTGTCTGTCTGTCTGTCTGTCTGCGGTATTTCAGATCTATATCATGGTAATATACATAT